CGAGAATTTTGCGTAAACATCATTGTCTATGTGAATTGAAAAAGTTGCAGAAGAGCATTCATGAATCCACATCACCTCATTGAGAAAAGCACACACTAAACCGCCGTAAACTTCAAGAACATGCGCACCTCTGAAAGAGAAATGTCATGCAAAAAGTAGAAGTCATATGGAAATTCTTGCGGCATTATGCACAGAGGCCCGCAGTAACCCGCCTCCCCATTCAGCGCCACTCGGCCTGGGCAGGCCTAAGTAAAACGTACGACGCTTTAGTCCGGCATTCGTGAAGTATCTATCTAGATGCGGGACGCTTCCTGGACATGATGGTCGTTCTGTTTTCAAAGAAACCATTCGCTTGAGCAGGTTTGGTCGAACAGCTAAGGGACAAAAATTCAACGCGCACGATAATGATTAGATCGGCTAGTGGCAAGATTTTAGCTGCAGAAAAATTCATGTCTTATATGTACAGAATCGTAAAGTGCTTTCAAAAAGCATCAGATAGCGGGAAACCCTTGTTCCGAAGCGAACGCGCCTGCAACTAGCGCTTTTGAGATTACTGGTTCACCAGTCTTCTCCTAAAAAAATTTCTACAGATCTCTCATTTGCACAAGCATAAACTCTTCTCATCAGACACTCATAAATACTCTTGCTGTATCTCCATGATTGCTGATATGTCACACATAAGCAGTTGTATAATATACTACAAGCCTTTAGAGGTACAATCGCAAGTTCTTGGCTTCCTACAAGTAATTCCTAAGAATTGTCGATTTTAGCTTGATACACCCCAGTAGTGAGCTAAGCTCGATAACTCTAGAGAACTAACACTTGCAGTAACATCTAGAAATTTGCGGTTGTACTCTGAAGGTAGTGGGAAGAGCACAGCATAGCTTTAGCAAAATAATATTTCCTTTTATTCAAATTTTGGTCGAAGAAATATGCAGAAACCGTAATATATGTGTTCGATGTGAAATGTTTCTGCTTGTGAATGTGAAAGATCCGTGGAAGATTGTGGACAGAGACACGAATTTTCCTCATTCTTTGATCATCCACTTTTCATTTGAGCTTCAAACTTGGGGCGCATCAGAATCCCTGCAAACGTTGCGCCATCATGTAGTGCTTGCTTTGCTTGCTTGCTTTGCATTTTTTTCCCTTTACAAGTTAAAGACTGAGAAAAGTCGAAGAGATTTGGGGACGCTAACATCAAATATTGCAGACTTGCACTTTATCTCAGAAATCTTGCACAAAATGATACTGTGAAGCTTTTATTAGGTTGATCCAAAGTTCTTGGACATATCCAAACTAGTTCTGATATTTCTCGAAACCTAATGCATGTACATCCGATAGAGGTACCATTCGATAGAGCAAAGCAAGCTCTACAAGATGGTATGCAAAAGTTTGCACCAACTTCGACCCACAGTACGTTTACATCCAGAATCGAGTCGTACTGAAAACTTGAAATAGTGGGAAAACTCATATCTTCGTTCAAAAATTCTACGGCTGTCAAACTCGCTCAAGCAAATTGCACATCACATCAGACACTCAAAGGTACCGTTTCTGTATTTTTTCCTCTTCTAGCAGTCGAGAAAACGAAAATTTTCATGCTTGTATAAAAACGAAGCTGTGCTGTTTCCACCCATGTAATTGTATAGCACAAGCCTTCAGAAGTACATCCGCAAATTTTTAACTTTCCACAAGCTCTAGTTCTCGAAAAATACTGATTTTAGCATGGAACACCCGACTGAGAAGAGCTCAATTCGGTGATTTTTGAAACTATGACCTATAGAAAGCTGAAAACTTACGGCTTTACTTCTAAGGGCTTGCACTATACATTACTTGAGTGGGAGCAGCGTAGCTTCGTTTTTGTATAAACGTCAAAATTTTCGTCTTCTCGATTTCTAAATGAGGAAAAAAAGTACGGGAAAGGTACTATGATTGTCTGATTTAGTGTGCAACTTTTTGAGCAAGCTGGGGATTCATAGGCTTTCTTTTGAGCGAGGATATGAATTTTTCGCATTTTTGAGCTTCAGTACGAGTCAGATTTTGATGCAAACTTACGGTGGGTCGAAGTTGGTGCAAAATTCTGCATATCATCTTGTAGAGCTTGCTTTGCTCTATAGAATGGTATCATCGGATATACATGCATTAGGTTTCGAGAAGTAGCAGATCTAGTCTGAAAATGACCGAAAACTTTTGAGCCAACCTAATATATAGGAAACACTATGGAAGGCATGTGACACTGACATCAAATCCATATAGTTCTGTTATTATTATTTATCAGTTACAAACTTTCTGTGGAAGAGAAGTTATGCGTTGTTTGGAGAAAAAACCAGACTCGCCGGTAAAGTCAAAACTGTACCACGCTTTCTAGACGTCCGCAGGGTGGTATTGATCTTGACATAAAGGCATAATTACAACTTAAGAGCGGCAAATATCAATAAGCGTATATATAAAGCGCATAGCCACAAAAGGGAAGAAATGCTGAAAAGTTTTCCTCCAGTTTTTGAGCATGTCCTTTCAACGTTATTTTTATCGCAATGACTACATGCAGCACCGGATAAGTTGTCTTAATTTGGCCAAAAACTTTATCGTAACTCTAGAGTCTTCGTTCACAATTTTGGGACTCTAATTGGGGCTCACAGTTATCATATTCCTTGAGAAACTAAATTATCTTTTGCTAGCTTCGATGATCAGAGCAACACCTTTGTCAAATTAATGGAAGTTTGGAGAAGGCAAAAGAAGAGGCTCCCTTCAGATACGCAAGCGTTACGCCAGCGTCGAGCCAGCACCGGGCTAACGCCGCGCCAGCACAGCCCTGCCGATGGCCCCGATGAGATTTTCGATCTATGCAGGGTGCATGCACCTGTCCAAGACGACAGAAGTCCGCGCTTTTGTCCCTTTTCTTCCCTTTCATGCCTTTTTCTCCTCTACGCGTTCTTGTTTGTCGCCAGCATTTCTTACAAGGATAACATTGATGATCATTACTTTTATGCCCTGTTGTACTTTTTCACAGTGCTAGAAACTGATCAAATGTCACTACATGGCTGGCAGCTGGCGAGAGTTCGATAATACTGCTTACAAGGGAACCGTGTCGAGTCGAAGTGGCCTTTCCAGATGAGACCCATACTGCTTTGAAGGGCATTAATCGGTGATTCCAAATCTGCTTTCCAAATCTGCCAAGCGCCCCTGGACGCCGAGTTATGCTCGTTTTTCAGGTCAAAAAATTGAACGCAAAACTGAAGGAAAATCGCCCAGATTTGCTCAAATGGTCCAGTGTCAAGTATCAGAGCTGTTTATGCGATGGATACATTTTATTTGATATGCTAATACTTAACACTGCATTATATGAGCGCTGGATAGATTGTAAAAATCAATTTTACCTAGATTTTGCTTCATTTTTCGTTCCGAAGAACGGTCATAACTCGGCGTCCAGAGGCGCTTGGCAGATTTGGAAAGCAGATTCGGAATCATCGCTTGATACTCTTCAAAGCAGTATGGGTCTCATTTGGAAAGGCCACTTCGACTCGACACGGTTTCCTTGTTAGTTACGCAGGTTGCTGCATTTCAAACATATCACCCAAAAATCGGCGTCGGAACCCATGCATGAGCAGTGTCCAAAGGCAACAGATCAAGAACGATGCCAAAGGAGAATATTGAGAATCTATATTAACACCAATGCTATAGTATAAGAAGTCTAATCATTTTGTAATTGAAAACGGGCGCTTTTACGTCAGATTACAAAAAATGACACCAAACCGAAAGCATACTGAACATTTTAATAACGCCGTCGACAACTTACCCCATGATTTGTTTCTTTCAAAAATCGAGATTGTGGAGATGCCACTACGTGGCCGACGGTTGACGGAATTGTGTGGATGAGCCTTGGAATTGTCTGCACCAATGTCCCAGTACTTTTCTTTGAATGAAGAAGAGATTCTACCAGTACAGTCGCAGGCGTCACGCGCGTTTGATATCACTTGATTCCGGAAAAACACTGATGAGAAAGCGTTTCCCGAAATAAAGGCAACATTAGAAAACAATAGAGAGAGGAAAAAGGCGAGGAAGAAGAACGCGGAGAGGAGAAAAAAGCACAAGGGGGGGGGGGAGGAGAGAGGGACGAAAATGCAAAGCTTTGGCGTCCCTGGCTAGGTGCACGCACGTCATGGAAAATCGCGTCGGGACTATCGGCAGCGCTGTGTCGGAGCGGCTATAGCTCGCTATCTCGGCACTACGTAACGCTGGCGTACAGTCTGCCCCAATCCTAATCAGGCCAAAATCGGCATGGCGGGAGTCCGCGCCGCGAGGGTTTCGCGCCACATCTGCGGCTAGCTAGTCTGCTCTCTCCTCGATCTCTTCACTCTCTGCGACAGCGCGCATATGCAGCGCAATCCCCTAGCGCTGCGAGCGCGCAAATTCAGCCGACGATTCGGCCTGATCTTGATTGGAGCAGACTGTAGCTCCGGCACTCTGGGCGGAGCCTTAGTAACCTAGTATCAAATCTCTCAATTGCAAGCTTATACTCTACCTAAAACACCTTACACAAATGAAACTGTGTCAAAGTGTCCTTTTTATATGGAAACTGAACTAAGGAAGACATGTAAAGCTGATTTCAAAGTTGTATAGTCTATCCGCGCGGCGTTTGTGGAAGGGGATACGCATGCTAAGGAAAAAACTTGCTGGTAAAGTCAAATTTATATCACGGTTTTCTAGCCCTTAGATAGAAGTTCTGAGCTGGGTTTACAAACATATGTGTCGCATGAAGTGCCTCAGCTCCATCGCATCCAGGAGCACGGAGTTTTCACTCTAATCTCAAGTTCAATTCCAGCTCCAAAAAAAGTTTCTCCTCACAAAAAAAACGCGTTGACAGCTTTCAAAGCTTCCCATGTCGTTTGCAAAGCATTGAAAGCCCCTAAACTATATAGCCCTTCTTTGGTGTCATGGATGTTTAGCAAGGGTTTCAGTCAAAGTTGAAATTAGAATTACGTTTCACGTATGCATGCATATACTTTTAGAATTGCAAATACAGCAATGTCCTTGTCGACGGCGTGTTTATTACTGATGGCATGCAGCGCGCTCGTGAAAGCTTCCTTCATAACTAAGGACATGTGTTCGGTGATGCTTATCTGTCCTCACTAACTTGAAAGAATTGCATTTTTGCAGTGTGATCAATTCTGCACCAGTGTTGCTCCAAATAACGCTATTTGCAAAAAGGATTGCAAGTTTGGAGAAAAGGACACAGTGTATATTCGCAAAGATGCAAGAGGTGTCTACAAAGCCTACAGATTTACCATTCCCCTAAGAGGATTCAGACTTCCTTGCATTGTATAGATTCGTTCTGGAATAAAGTTTGGCAACATGTGCGTGAATGGTAATACATAGTAATACATATCTAAAGAATGTAAGAAATAAATGGAAATGGTGTCAGATAATCCTCTTAATGAGAGAATGTGTTTTGATGTCTAAATTTGCTATTTTGGAGCTGCGATTCTTCTTGGCTATGGTGTCTGTAATTTACACATTCAGTGAATAACGAATAGTTTATTGATAGTGCTTTCAACAAATAATTCTAGTAAGCCGCGATTATTTCCATCGCGCGCGGACCGGCGTGCCATTTCGTTTGGCGGGGAGCAGGGTCCCTTCCAGGTGTAGGTTGGCTAATTAAGACCTAGAAAAGTGAAAGGGGTAAGTGAGCCTCGAGGTGAAGCTGACGTAAGCTTACGTGCCGAGTGGGAACTGGGGTGTGCAATGAGGGAAAACAAGCGGTCAGAGGTGTAATGTGAGGAATTTTTCAATGATTTGGTTTTGAAAAGTCATCAAACAGAGATTTTACTGACTTAGGAAAGCTTTAAATCTCACCAATCGACATAACACTCGTAAGTTTGAAAATGTAGAATTGGCGGTGACCGCCTTTTTTCCAGCTCTCCTGTTAATTCATACATAAACTTTTTTTACTATCTACAGTACCAGCTGATTTTATGCAATCACTTTGCGCTCCATTCTTGAAAGGAAGAGGGAAGCTAGAAAAAAGAGACGATAACGTTTACTGTAAAAGTCTTGCTCTGTAACTGCTAACATCTCTGTCCTCCAATTTGGAAGCATCGTTGAAATAGGGGCAGTATCACTGACTTCGAACGTACAGCCAGCTTATTATTAGGATCAGTAACATCACTGAAAAGAAAAGAAAATACCATCAACCTCATTGTATCCTTGAGGAAAGAATATACAACCCAAACACCCGGAAGTCGTCCGAGTGTCTGGAAGAAGTACAGATATACCCAAGGACATGAACATTCGCAGGAAGGGCAGTCACAAAGCAAAGTGCACCGAGTCTTTGCTTTTCAAAATTAAAAACATTCTTCAAAAGTGTTTTTGCGTCATTGTTTGCTGCGGCGTCGACTTTGAAAAATAGGTCATTTCTCAGACCAAAGAAAACGAATAAGTCTCAAACACTTTTTTGAAAACCAAGAAATCTGAGCTACTGGTTACTATCCGATCCGTAACAAAACGGACACCTAAATTAGCTAACAGCATGCGAAACTGGCGCGCGCGCAACTGCCAACCAACCATGGAGCGCACGCATGCGCAGGGAATGAGGCCTAGGGGACAAAAATTACCAGAGAAAATGCGCAGTAAAATAAGCGTTTTACGCAGTGGGAACGATGATTACAGTCACGCATGCAAAAATTTTGTTAAAACATGCATAAAGGATGAAATTTGTAAGTAATAACTTAATTTCAAGCTGTGAAGGGCTTGGAAATTAGGAGAATACGTTCGAGAACATAAGAAAAGCAGTGTTTGGACCTTATTGCGATCGGTTAGCTATTGTATCATGCGCTCCACGCATCACAATTTGCCCGCGCGTCGTTTGCGCGTCAGTCTCGCGTCCGCTCAGCTTACTTGGGCCTTCGTCATGGACCTAACATTACATACTAGCTGGCTTACCCGGCTAGGCCCGGCCCTGTCAAAACCTATAATAAAGGTTACATCCTTATCCCTGTACAGCCTTTCTCTGTACCCACTTCTATATGCCAATTCCCTATTCTCGCTGTGCTAATAATCAGCATGCTCAATTACCCCTGTGCCAGTTCCCGATGATTGTCTTCAACAGAGGCAACTGATGGTTGTACCGATGGTTGTCCTCAGCAGAGGCAACCGATGGTTGTACCGATGGTTGTCCTCAGCAGAGGCAATCGATGATTGTACCGATGGTTGTACCGATGGTTGTCCTCAGCAGAGGCAACCGATGGTTGTACCGATGGTTGTCCTCAACAGAGGAAACCGATGGTTGTACCGATGATTGTCCTCGGCAGAGGCAACCGATGTTTGTACCGATGGTTGTCCTCAACAGAGGCAACCGATGGTTGTACCGATGGTTGTCCTCAACAGAGACAACTGATGGTTGTACCGATGGTTGTACTCAACAGAGGCAACCGATGGTTGTACTGGGTGCGGGAAACCCTGGAGCACTGGGAAAAGGGTGCGGGAGACCACGGATCACTGGGAAAAGGGTGCGGGAGACCATGGACCACTGGAAAAAGGGTGCGGGAGAAGCGAGAGCACTGGAAAAAGGGTGCGGGAAAAGCGAGAGCACTGGAAAAAGGGTGCGGGAGACGCGAGAGCACTGGGAAAAGGGTGCGGGAGACGCGAGAGCACTGGAAAAAGGGTGCGGGAGACGCGAGAGCACTGGGAAAAGGGTGCGGGAGACGCGAGAGCACTGGAAAAAGGGTGCGGGAGACCATGGAGCAGTAGAAAAAGGGCGCGGGAGACGCGAGAGCACTGGAAAAAGGGTGCGGGAGACCATGGACCACTGGAAAAAGGGTGCGGGAGACGCGAGAGCACTGGGAAAAGGGTGCGGGAGACCATGGACTACTGGAAAAAGGGTGCGGGAGAAGCGAGAGCACTGGAAAAAGGGTGCGGGAGAAGCGAGAGCACTGGAAAAAGGGTGCGGGAGACGGGAGAGCACTGGAAAAAGGGTGCGGGAGACGCGAGAGCACTGGGAAAAGGGTGCGGGAGACCATGGACCACTGGAAAAAGGGTGCGGGAGACGCGAGAGCACTGGAAAAAGGGTGCGGGAGACGCGAGAGCACTGGGAAAAGGGTGCGGGAGACCATGGACCACTGGAAAAAAGGGTGCGGGAGACCATGGAGCAGTAGAAAAAGGGCGCGGGAGAAGCGAGAGCACTGGGAAAAGGGTGCGGGAGACGCGAGAGCATTGGGAAAAGGGTGCGCGAGACGCGAGAGCACTGGAAAAAGGGTGCGGGAGACGGGAGAGCACTGGGAAAAGGGTGCGGGAGACGCGAGAGCACTGGAAAAAGGGTGCGGGAGACGCGAGAGCACTGGAAAAAGGGTGCGGGAGACGCGAGAGCACTGGAAAAAGGGTGCGGGAGACGCGAGAGCACTGGGAAAAGGGTGCGGGAGACGCGAGAGCACTGGAAAAAGGGTGCGGGAGACCATGGAGCAGTAGAAAAAGGGCGCGGGAGACGCGAGAGTACTGGAAAAACGCTGCGGGAGACCACGGAGCAATGGAAAAAAAGGTGCGGGAGACCATGGAGCACTGGGAAAAGGGTGCGGGAGACGCGAGAGCACTGGAAAAAGGGTGCGGGAGACCATGGACCACTGGAAAAAGGGTGCGGGAGAAGCGAGAGCACTGGAAAAAGGGTGCGGGTGAAGCGAGAGCACTGGAAAAAGGGTACGGGAGACGCGAGAGCACTGGGAAAAGGGTGCGGGAGACGCGAGAGCACTGGAAAAAGGGTGCGGGAGAAGCGAGAGCACTGGAAAAAGGGTGCGGAAGACGCGAGAGCACTGGAAAAAGGGTGCGGGAGAAGCGAGAGCACTGGAAAAAGGGTGCGGGAGACGCGAGAGCACTGGAAAAAGGGTGCGGGAGACCATGGAGCAGTAGAAAAAGGGCGCGGGAGACGCGAGAGCACTGGAAAAGGGTGCGGGAGACCCTGGAGCAGTGGGAAAAGGGTGCGGGAGACGCGAGAGCACTGGAAAAAGGGTGCGGGAGACCATGGAGCAGTAGAAAAAGGGCGCGGGAGACGCGAGAGTACTGGAAAAACGCTGCGGGAGACCACGGAGCAATGGAAAAAAGGTGCGGGAGACCATGGAGCACTGGGAAAAGGGTGCGGGAGACGCGAGAGCACTGGAAAAAGGGTGCGGGAGACCATGGACCACTGGAAAAAGGGTGCGGGAGAAGCGAGAGCACTGGAAAAAGGGTGCGGGTGAAGCGAGAGCACTGGAAAAAGGGTACGGGAGACGCGAGAGCACTGGGAAAAGGGTGCGGGAGACGCGAGAGCACTGGAAAAAGGGTGCGGGAGAAGCGAGAGCACTGGAAAAAGGGTGCGGAAGACGCGAGAGCACTGGAAAAAGGGTGCGGGAGACGGGAGAGCACTGGAAAAAGGGTGCGGGAGACGCGAGAGCACTGGGAAAAGGGTGCGGGAGACCATGGACCACTGGAAAAAGGGTGCGGGAGACGCGAGAGCACTGGAAAAAGGGTGCGGGAGACGCGAGAGCACTGGGAAAAGGGTGCGGGAGACCATGGACCACTGGAAAAAAGGGTGCGGGAGACCATGGAGCAGTAGAAAAAGGGCGCGGGAGAAGCGAGAGCACTGGGAAAAGGGTGCGGGAGACGCGAGAGCATTGGGAAAAGGGTGCGCGAGACGCGAGAGCACTGGAAAAAGGGTGCGGGAGACGGGAGAGCACTGGGAAAAGGGTGCGGGAGACGCGAGAGCACTGGAAAAAGGGTGCGGGAGACGCGAGAGCACTGGAAAAAGGGTGCGGGAGACGCGAGAGCACTGGAAAAAGGGTGCGGGAGACGCGAGAGCACTGGGAAAAGGGTGCGGGAGACGCGAGAGCACTGGAAAAAGGGTGCGGGAGACCATGGAGCAGTAGAAAAAGGGCGCGGGAGACGCGAGAGTACTGGAAAAACGCTGCGGGAGACCACGGAGCAATGGAAAAAAGGTGCGGGAGACCATGGAGCACTGGGAAAAGGGTGCGGGAGACGCGAGAGCACTGGAAAAAGGGTGCGGGAGACCATGGACCACTGGAAAAAGGGTGCGGGAGAAGCGAGAGCACTGGAAAAAGGGTGCGGGTGAAGCGAGAGCACTGGAAAAAGGGTACGGGAGACGCGAGAGCACTGGGAAAAGGGTGCGGGAGACGCGAGAGCACTGGAAAAAGGGTGCGGGAGAAGCGAGAGCACTGGAAAAAGGGTGCGGAAGACGCGAGAGCACTGGAAAAAGGGTGCGGGAGAAGCGAGAGCACTGGAAAAAGGGTGCGGGAGACGCGAGAGCACTGGAAAAAGGGTGCGGGAGACCATGGAGCAGTAGAAAAAGGGCGCGGGAGACGCGAGAGCACTGGAAAA